CTGCAGGGTCCAATTGCTTCTGTCTGGGTTCCAGAGGATGTTTTAGGAAAGGGCCTTTACATTCACTTGGGGGTGGATTAGAAAGCAAAATGTAACGCGGTGACATGTTCCAGGCGGGATTCAGCCGCTGTCGAAGTGCATTCCAGCTTTTCTTCCTCGTCCCCTCTAGGTGGGCAGACATCTGAAGTGGCTGCGGTCTTTATTCGCGGGGGCCAAGCTATCCGGACAGCAGCCTGGAAGCACATCTTGCTACAAAAGCCGACTCTCTCGTTATGTATGAGGACCGGCGTGGTGTAGCGCTTCGAGTGTCGGCTTGGATTTGGGAGACCCGGGTTTCAATCCCCCCGCTGCCATGGAAGGCTTGCTGGGTGACCTTGGGCCGGTCACACACGCTCAGTCTAGCCTCCCTCACAGGGCCGTTGTGAGGATAAAAGGGAGGAGAGGAGAACCATGTAAGCCGTTTTGGGTCCACGTTGGGGAGAAAGGGGTATAAATAAATAAATGTGGATGGCTCCTACCCGAACCTATGAAGCTGTCTTTCAGGGAGTCAGATGGCGGGTTCCCCTAACGCCATACTGTCTCCTCTGACAGGAGGGGTCCCAGGCAGAGAGAGATCCCAACAGCAGCCACCTGAGATGTTCAGCTGATTGAGGCCAGGACCTTCTGCATGCAAATGAAATCAACAGAGCAATCTGATGTCGAGTGACTCCGGTCAGAAACCATTAAATGGGGGTTGGACTAGATGACCCTGGAGGTCCCTTCCGACTTTATGATTCTATGACCTGGATAGCCCAGGCAAGCCCGATCTCGTCAGATCCTGGAAGGTAGGCAGGGCTGGCCCTGGCTAGTGTTTGGATGGGAGACCTCCAAGGAATACCAGGGTCGTGATGCATAGGCAGGTGATGGTAAACCACCTGTGAACGTCCCTTCAAGCCCCACTAGGGGTGGCCAGAAGCCAGCTTGACTTGAGGGCAAAAACAAAAATCTGTGGGCTTGGACTGGAAGAACCGTGCAGAAGATTGCACTGTAGAACACATAAAACAAAGCTGTGGAAGAGAATAGCCCGTGCGGTATAGGGGTTAGAGCATCAGGCTAGGATCTGGGGGAAATGGGTTCAAATCCTAACTGCCATGGAAGCTTGCTGGGCGACCTTGGGCCAGTCACACACACTCGGCCTAACCCACCTCACGGGGTTGTTGCGAGGATAAAACGGAAGACAGGAACATGACGTAAGCCACTTTGGGGGCCCGCTGGGGAGGAAGGTGGGGTATAAATGAAGGAAATAACTAATAAACAAAATAATGGGTTGTATCCCACCAGTCCACTAGGCCTTCCGTCCACACGACATGCAGATGGTCAGATTGCAGTTGCACGGCTCGGATGAGTGCAAAGGCAGCAGGTGCTCCGCAGCCCCCCACGGGCCCAGCTTGCCTCACAGAGCAGAGACTCCCAGCTGATGTCTTTTGACCATAAGATGGCCACCTTTTCCTGTGAACAGCGGTTGTTTCACTTGGAGAGCCAATGCTCCCTCTAAGCTGTGGAGTCCTGTGAGCAAAAATTCTACTTTGTGAGCTGCTTGCATTAAAGTTGTGAGCGAGCGATGTGGCTACCGCATCAATTAGTTTGCTCTGGAGCCCTCCTTCCTGAGCGAACAGAAAAATGGGTGAGCCGGAGGCTGAAAAACTGTGAGCTAGCTCACACTCACTCAGCTTAGAGGGAACACGGTTGTTGACATTCCCTTGGTGAAGCCTTTTTCAGTCATGGAGGCAATGAAGGAATAGATGCTCTGGTTATATTTCTGCCTCTCATGCAACTGTTAAAGGATACAGAATCCACACACACACACAAGCGTCACTTCTGAAACCCCTCTGGTGGGCAGCCCAGCCACTTGCTAGCATTCCCAACTTTTTTCTTACCAGCCTCACATCCATTTCTCCACAAGTAGCCCCACACAGAGGATCTAAGAAAGCTGAGCTTTCTTTTACCACATTATCTCAGACTCAGTACCAGGAAAATATTTGCTGTCGAATTTCTGCATGCCAGACTGCCATTCAGAAACAGAAACATGGGTGCTGACCCACCATCTCCCCCACCTTACAGTACAAATGGCTCTAATCATTCCTTTGTACACGAGACCACGCAAAGCTCCATGAGATAAATGGGGGGAGGGGTAGACATGTTAGATTGTTGCACCAACATTCAATAGAAGTCCAGTGGCAGAGTAAGATAAACACACACAGTCAAGGATGATGTTAATTACTTCTGCTTAACCATATCTCACAGCACACCCTCCTTCATTAGATCTGCTCGGATCTATCTAGAAGACGATGACATTGGATTTATACCCCAATCTTCACTACCTGAAAGCGTCCCAGAGCGGCTTAAAATCTCCTTCCCTTCCCCTCCCCACAAGACACCCTGTGAGGTAGGTGGGGCTGAAAGAGATGTTTTTGAGAGAACAGCTCTGAAAGAACATGTCACTGACCCAAGGTCACACCAGCAGCTGCATGTGGAGGAGTGGGGAATCAAACCCGGTTCTCCCAGATTAAAGTCCACACTCCTAATCACTACACCAAACTGGCTCTACAGTTATGAGTAGCCCTCACCCACTCTGAATGGACTGAATTATCTTTGGGGATTGTTTCTATCCGTCCTTTCTTTGTAATGTCTTCCTTCTCCCACCTTTCTGTTGCTCACAACTTTTAAATATCTCTCTTATGGGTGGCCTCTAATGAAGTGAGCTCTGATGCAGGAAAGCTCACACTGGAATAATTTTTTTGTGTGTTTCAACTGCCCCGTGGCTCCTGTTTTTAACAAAGATGATCACGGATGCACAGAACAAACTCACGCCAGCTTCACTGCTCTGTAGCTCAACAGCCGCCTTCTTGCTAAATGTCCTGCAAACCGATTCCACAGCAAGAGAACAGAGCCAACCCAGAGGGCATAACTGTCTGCTTTCTTCCTTGCACCTTCATTTGGCAACGTTTCTTCTCTAGCTTATTAGATCGTGGAGCAAGAAGCAGGCAAGACAGACAGTAATGCCGGCCAGCCTTTATATTAGAGCAGCTCTACAGACTTCAGGCCAGACATGTCAGAAGCTCCCATTGTTGGGGCCACATGCACAGAGTGGCCATTGCTGGGGGTATTATGGGGTTGCCAAGTCTGGGTTGGGAAATACCTGGAGATTTTGCAGGTGGAGTCTGAGGAGGGCTGGGTTTGTGGAGGGGACGGGCTTCAATGGGATATGATGCAATAAACTCCACCTTCCAAGTTGGCCGTTTTCTCCAAATGAGCTGATCTCTGTTGCCTGGAGATCAGTTGTAATAGCGTGAGATCTCCAGACATCACCTAGACGTTGGCAACCCTAGGTGTCGTGCTATGTGGTTCAGTTCAGCCAGAGTGCATTTGAAAGTGGACACCACTAAGCAGTAAAGGGGTTTCATCACTGCCGAGCATGTGTGATGAAAGGTTGCCATTGCCAACCTCCAGGTGGTAGAACTTTGTAGGAAAACTACCGTGATATGATAACGAAGTTGTGTTTAGGGGAAAATATATCTTCTTTAACCGTTAATAAACCATTACAGTTGTTTCCTTTGAAATAAATTGGTCTCAAGTCTTTCCGACGGTACAGCGCTCAATAGACCGTTTCACTCAAAGTTTCATCAGATGAGACCTTGCACTAGAAGAAAGTGGTGAAAATGTTATAAATTGTTTATATTTTTGTATATTTTCTTGTGCAAGGTCTCATCTGATGAAACTCTGAGTGAAACCGTCTATTGAGCGGTGTACCGTCAGAAAGACTTGAGACCAATTTATTTCAAAGGAAACAACTTTAATGGTTAAAGAAGATATATATTTTCCCTAAACACGACTTCGTTATATCATGCTTGTTTTCCTACGAAGTGCAGCCTGTCCTGTGATCTCTTGTCCTTGACTTCAACCTCCAGGGGGTGTAGGGTTGCCAGCCTCCAGTTGAGGCCTGGGGATCTCCTGCTTTTACAACAGATCTCCAGCTGTCAGAAGTCAGCTCCCCAGGAGAAAATGGCTGCTTTGAAAGGTGGACTCTATGGCACTGGGCCATGTGGAGGCCCCTCCCCTCCCCAAACCCCACCCTCTCCTGGCTCCACCCCCAAAGTCTCCAGGTATTTTCCAACCCAGACCTGGCAACCCTAAGGTGGTGCCTGGAGAGCTGCTTTTACAACTGACCTCCAGACTACAGCGATCAGTTACCTTGGAGGAAATGGCTGCTTTGGTGGAGAGCCAGTTTGACGTAGTGGTTAAGTGCGCGGACTCTAATCTGGGAGAACCGGGTCTGATTCCCCCCTCCTCCTCCACTTGCACCTGGCTGGATGACCTTGGGCAAGCCGTAGTTCTGATAAGAGCTGTTCTTGAAAAAGAGCCATTTCTGTCAAGAGCTCTCTCAGTCCCACCTGCTTCACAGGGTGTCTGTTGTGGGGAGGGGAAGGGAAAGGAGTTTGAAAGCCGCTCTGAGACTCCTTTGGGTAGTGAAGGGTGGGGTATAAATCCAATCTCTTCTCTTCTCCTCCTTTGGAGGGGATTCTACAGCGTACCACAACGAGGTTCTTCCCTTCCCCAGGCTCCACCCCCTCCCCCAAAGCTCCAGGTATTTCCCAACCCAAAGCTGGCAACTCTGGGAGGCGTGGCTGCTGGGATAAAACTTAACAACAAAAAACGTTGTCCCTCAATCTAACATGCCCTGCGTTCAACGGTCGTTAGAAACGAAGGAGAAGTACTACAGCCATCCCTCGGGCCTCCAGTTGCCCATCGCCGCGCCAGCCATATCCTCAAAAGGGCCGTGCCCGGCTCCATAAGCGCGTGTGAACTGGATCGACTCTGATGAGAACGGATCAACGTTGACCACACACCCCGAAGTCGCCAGAGAGAGCAACTCCTCCTCCCATTATAACCGACGCTCCCCCCAGAATCACGACTCTCCGAGATTCCCCCTTTCTCAACCCCAATCCCTTGGAAACTCTTACCAGGCTGAAGGACAACTTTCTTGTCAGATCAAGGAGGATACCGTCTGAGTGCCGGAACTGAAGCACCACGGGTTTGGGGGGCCGGGGGGAATACTGTTGCCATAGTACCTTAGTGTAGTCTTTCTATTGGCCGCGGCCTCCGGAAGCGAACGCGAGTCCGTCGCCTGGAGAGGCTCCCCAGCGCCCCGAAACCGGAAGTGAGGAGGGTTTGGCCTGGGTGATGCACGAACCCGTTGGTCAAGGGAAGGATGTGACTGCGGGAATCGCGGCTGTTTGCTTTTGGGGCGGGGAGGCCGAAGAGGAAGGAGTGAGGCGGGAGCCTGGTGGGTCTGGGCTTTGGGGACGCGGTGGGGTTAGTGGGGTGGATAGCAAGGGGTTAACAGGCTTTGGGTGTTGGAATGGGAAGGGTTTGACAGGTATTGGGTAGGAGTCAGCTATTGGGTTCCTTGGGGCTGAAGACGGTTCCTCTGAAGAGCTGCAAGGGATTCTGCAGTTGCCCGAGAAAGAGACAATAGCAGTCGGAGGTAGTCCTTATTTTCCGTCCATTGCATTTTTACCCCACCCTTCCTCCAAGGGTGCTGTACACTGCTTTCTATTTCCTGGTGTCTGCTCCGGGAAACACCCTTGTTTTTGTTACTCTTTCAGACGATTACAGGAGGAGGGGACGGCGACAGTGAGGATGTTAGGCACTACATCCAGTCACAAAGAACATGTAATTTGTAATGATTGTGGAACTTGGTAACAGAGATTACAGTGATGGGTGCTTTCTTAGAATAGCTTAAAAGGGGGATTAGGTTAATTCCTGGAGAAGAGGCTTATTGATGGCTATTTGTCGTGAGGGCTAAATGAAATCTCCATATTCAGAACTTCCACATTCAGAGGCAGAATACCTCTGAATACAAGTTGCTAGGGGAGAGCAGCAGTTACAGGTTCTGTCCTAAAGGCTTAATAGAATGTTTTTCATTCAGTTGTGTTATTTATCTTCATGCTATGGAAAGAGACTTCTGCCCATTTCCGCACATTCAGCCTCTATTAAAGGGACAGGATGTTTTTACATCTTTCTCCAGGCCTGTTGAAAACCACAGCAACAGCCTGGGGAGACTTTGGCCTCCATGCTTGTGTAGAGTAATGAGAATAACCCGGGTCCTTGTGCAGCTCTGATAGCATGAATCCTTGCTAAGAAATACCTTTCTGTGTGAAACTTGCTAAAGAATGAGCCAGAGGCTTTCACTTTGGCAGGATTACCAAGCCTCTTTTTGTTTATCAGTGTAAGTTGATTACGATATAACAATTCTCAAGTGTCATATTGCATTCCCATAAACTATAGAACAGAATGAGCTTTATGTTTTAAATAAACAAGAGAATAAATATTAACTTTGTACTAGTGCAAAGTTCTTTTATGATACTTTGGCTCATGGTTGTTCTTCGAACTCGCAATCCAAACCTGTTTCTTGTCTCTTTCAGAAGTCTGCTGTGATTGTGATGGGAAATGGCTTCAAGGGGAAAAATTGAGACCAGCAAGTTGAAACAGAACCTGGAAGAGCAGCTGGACAGGCTCATGCAGCAACTGCAAGATTTGGAAGAATGCAGGTGATGAAGAGCTTCTAGAAAAAGGTTGAGCTGTCGTGAAATCTTTCTATCTGTGAACAGCATGTGGGCCAGGACAGCTTCGTAATCTTCAGTTGCTTGGGGGATGGTTACATATATGTTCTTTGGTATTTTGTATTTTCTTGAAACTCTGTTGAGATGATCTCACAAGTAGGATGTATGAAGCTTCCTAATGTGGAATCAGACCTCCGGTCCATCTGGGTTTTTTGTATTCATTGTTTGTAACCGTGCTTTTCGGCTGGACTGGCTGCCAATGCAACTTAAAATTCAACGCTGTTACATTATATTTAGTTAGAGCCAGTTGCTGAGATGCACAGCTCCATTTCGATCGGTGACATTTTACACAATGAGAGAAGCATCACCAGACATTGTCTCACCTGTTGGGACTTGGTGGAATGCTGAGAAGCTGGAATCATCAGCTGCTAGAGATGATGGTGGGAGAAGAGTCCCAGATGTTAGTCTTCTACACTCACGACTACTATTACTGTTGTCTGCTGTGACTGCCAGTTGCCCTCCAGGGTCATAAGCAGTGTTCCCTCTAAACTGAGTTAGTGTGAGCTAGCTCAGTTTTTTAACCTCTGGCTCACACATTTTGTCTTAGCTCAGGGAGGATGGCTCCAGAGCAAACTAATTTACGCAGCAGCCAAATCGCTCACTCACAACTTTAATGCCAAGAGCTCACAAAGTAGAATTTTTGCTCAAAAGATTCCACAACTTAGAGGGAGCATTGGTCATAAGCAGAGAATGATCTTTCCCAGCTACCTGAGTTGAGGATTGATTCTGGTACCTTCTGCATGCAAAGCAGGTACCACTAAATTGTTATGGGGCTAGATAGACAGATGCTCTGATTTGGTGTCAGGCAGCTTTGTCTGTTCTTATCTCAAAAAAAAAAGCACAGTGGTTTCTATGTACAATATGAGTAACTGTATGCACGGTCACAGTTTTAGTTGACACATGCAATTGGCTCTCATTCAGAGATGAACTGGATGCAGATGAGTATGAGGAGACCAAGAAGGAAACCCTGGAGCAACTGAGTGAATTCAATGACTCTCTCAAGAAGATTATGTCTGGAAATATGACTTTGGTAGATGAACTCAGTGGGATGCAGTTGGTGAGTACTTGGATTTTTGTGGCATGTCTAAAAACGGCATATTTCAATGTGTGTGAACTCAGTTTGTCAAGTTTTATTCTGATAGAGTCTTAGGGTGCTTTCACACACACTGAATCATGCAGTTTCAGTCCACTTTCAACACACTTTAGTAATTGTTTCCAAGCGGATCTTGCCATTTTGCACAGTGAACTTCCAAGTGGATCTTGCTATTTTGCACAGTGAACTTCAGTTGCAAAGTGTATGGAGAGTGTGTTATTCAGCATGTATGAAAGTGCCTAAACTCTCATCATCATGGGCATTACTGTTGATAGCTCTGTAATTCTTTGCTTCCTCCAGTGTAAGCAGTTGGCCTGGGTCTTTCAGGCATGTGTTTGGCTCCTTGCAATGACTGGTACAAGCTACTATCAGTTATGCCAGGTTGGTCTTGTAATAGACAGACAAATAGATATACATTTGTTGGTTATTAGTTGTTGTAGATATTCCGGGCTGTATGGCTGTGGTCTTGGCATTGTAGGACCTGACGTTTCGCCAGCAGCTGTGACTGGCATCCTCAGAGGTATAACATAGAAAAGATGGAGTACTCTCTGTGTCAAGGTGAGAAGAAAAATAGTAGGCAGGTAGTTTATATCTACTCAGGAAGGTGGGGTAGGGCTGAGTCATAAGTCACAAGAGAATTACTCAGCTCTACCCCACCTTCCTGAGTAGATATAAACTACCTGCCTACAGCCGGTGTTTGCTGTAAATCGTGCCTGTTGGTTTCAATGTTCCTTTCTAGGCTATCCAAGCAGCCATCAGTCAAGCCTTTAAAACCCCAGAAGTCATTCGAATGTTTGCCAAGAAACAGCCTGGGCAGTTGCGGACAAAACTGGCTGAGGTAAAGATATGTTTTCAATCAAGAAAAGTGATGTAAAATATATGAACTTGGGATTACGAAGCAACCCCTTCCCCCACCTCATGACTGGCAGAGTACATTTTCCAAACGCACACAACTTGCGAGGTGGACACAGCGTGCAGAATTCAGCTGTACTTGGTGCAGTGCTCTGGAGCCACAGTGGCACACTGAACTGGCATTCCCCTTTCCCACAATGCTTGCTGGGTAGCCTGCTGCCTATCCTGCTCTTTCAGCCTCACCCACCAGATTTAATTTCCAACCGCGGAACAGAGTTGGTGTAACGATTCCTTGTTTATGTGTGTGTGTCTCTTTAAAAGTTTGGTTGCATGTTAGATTAGTCTAGAGTGTTTGAAGGGACAAGTGTGGTGTGATTGGTGATTGACAGAGAGAGGGGAGGGGTTTTAGAAAGTGTTGCTGTGTGGATGAATGGGTATGTCTTTCAGGAGTGACAGTTAGAGGTTTGACAGTTGAGGATGACCATTGATAAGTTAGTTAAGTTCTGAGTTCTGTGAGAGAAACAGAAGTTCAGTTAAGCTCTGTGTATGAAAGAAGTGAGAAGCTGTTCTGTGTGAAAACAGTTAAGCTGTCTGTTGATGTTGTTCAGAGAAGAAGAAAAGTTTAGGAAAGGCTGTATGTCCTGGAGAGAAACAGTGAACTTACATGACCTTGAGTTAAAGTTACAAAGTTACCTGAAAAATCCCTGACAGAAAGGGAGCAGAGCTTGTGTGGGACACCAAAGAATTTATCAGAATATTCACATTACCAGTTACTTTGTTCTACACTGTTATTTATGAGTTATATCAATAAATCTACTTTTATTTAAGATACCAGTTCTGAAAGAAATACTTCCTCATTAGTACCTCAAAGGCCTAAAACCTCGACCTACATACCCAGTGATAGAAATATTTATTTATTTATTTATTTATTTATTTATTTATATCTTCGATTTCTACCCCGCTCCAACCCCGAAGGGTCTCTGAGCGGCTTACAAGTTCCAAGTTTATCCCTAGCTAAGGCCACATATCTATCATAATTCATATATTATAGTATAAAGGTTTGGAAAGCCTTAAATTTCCTGGTGGCAGCCGGATTTACACAGTAAAACGAAACATAAAGAACACTTTTAAAGAGAAACTTATACAGACCTGCTTTTCAACTAATTCTTAAATGCAGTTTATTCCGAGCAACGGCTGAAGGATTGGCGGGACTGGCTCTCTGCCCACGGGCTCTTTTGGCCTCTGCTCAGATGGCAGCAGATTCTTTTGCTTAGCTGAGGGCAGGTAATTCTGTCGGAGAGCTGCAACAGAAGCAATTGAATGACCCAATGGAGTGGGGTGGCAGAACAGCCCTCTTCCCATGGAGGCAGATGGGAAGGAGGTGAACAGTAAATCATACAGAGACAACAGGCACACTCCTTTCTGGAGAGACAACAGGCACACTCCTTTCTGGATTGGTACCTTGGGTTTACAGAACCTGCTGTTTTGTTACTCGATTTCTCCCGGCCTGCAGTGGAGGAATTATTGCCACAAATTGGGCAGAACTTTATGCCTCAAATGTGAAATCCTCTGCTTCTTCCCATACAGATGGACAGAGATCTGATCGTGGGCAAGCTGGGGCGGGACCTTTACACCCAGCAGAAAGTGGAAATCCTGGCTGCTCTCCGGAAGCTTGGAGAGAAGGTACTGGTGCTGGATAGCCTGTCCCTTCCTACTGTGGAACGAACGCACGTGCATGCTCCCTTTTCATTTTTATTGCAATATTTAAAAGGTAATTCTCCAGTCCTCCTGTTCATACAGAAAATCCTGCTTGAGCCCTTTTTCTTGTCTGTTTGTTTTTTTAAAAAAACTACCGTCTGTAGACTCTCAGAACCGTAAAAGCCCTTTTTAAAAACGGGTTTATAGCTGATTGCATTTCTGTTTATTTGTGGGCCCGGTTTTCAGGATAAAGACTGTAGAGGTAGTTTGCATGGCTGACTGTTTCTTTTCTCTTTCCTTCAGTTGTCTCCTGATGATGAGGCTTTCCTCTCGACCAACGCGGGAGCTACTCTGAGCCAATTTGAAAGAGTCTCCAGTGACCTGGGTAAGTCCTTGCCCCGCCCCCCCCAGGTCCAGGTGTTTGGCTATCTTGTCATCTAGTGGAAACAAATGACACCTTGTAGACCTGAGGGCCTCCCCCCCCCATCAAGCTTCTTGTTTTCAAAGCAGGGTTTGGAGGCACGTATGGGATCCAGATGGTGTGCGTGTACTTCACCTGCTTCCTCTGTGTAACAGGAGGAGGAGATTGGATTTATACCCCGCCGTTCACTTGGAGTCTCAGAGCAGCTTACAATCTCCTTTCTCTTCCCCTCCCCACAACAGACATCCTGTGAGGTAGGCGGGGCTGAGAGAGCTCTGAGAGAACTGTCCTTGAGAGATCAGCTCTGACAGAACTATGGCTTGCCCAAGGTCATCCAGCAGCTGCAAGTGGAGGAGTGAGGAATCAAACCTGGTTCTCCCAGATTAGAGTCCGCACACTTAACCACTACACCAAACAGGCATAAAACTTGCTCGACTAACATACAAAGATGTACATCACGTGGCTTGACTTTGAACCGTTGAACGACGTGAAGCCCAGTTTTCTTTCCTGAATTCTTAGTAAGCCGGGCATCGGGTGAGGTGGCGGGCATCCGCCTTTGTTGGCCTCCCTGCTTTAGTTCCCAATCTGCCGAAAGGGCCCATTTGACTTCGTCTTGTGGCTCTAACAGATTTATATGAAATTGTTGCTACCTGTGTGACTTCTATTGTTTTATCGTTTTAATGATTTTAACACAATTTTGTCACGAGTCTTGGACTCGGTTTCTTGTGGTCTGCCCTGAGCCCGCTTTTGGGGAGGGCGTAATAAAAATCTCAAAAATAAATTAAATTTAAAATAGTTGCATTTTAGCCATTGAAGAGCGTCTGCGGAAGTGACTGGCCCACATTTTTCCTCTTAGCCATCTGGCCCCTGCCAATGTATTAGCCTTTTGTATCCTGGTAATGCCTAGAAAATCAGCCAGAACCTCTTCCAGTTTGCTGACCTTTCCCTGCATGGTCAACTGTACTTTTAACTCATTCCAGGCTATTGGGCCAAGGGGTCATCTGCAAGCTCTCTTAGGTGTCCCCGAGCGCCTGTTCAGTTTGCCATTTTTAAAGAGTACCAGATCTAGTGGAGGAGACGCTTTTGAACCTCTGGTCTGCTTCAGCCACTCTGTTTTGCTGCGACAGATTAATACAGCTGATCCCCTGGAATTAAGAAAACCATCAAGAGGCTTTTGTGTGAGTGTATGCCTGGAAGTCATGGTTGACTTCTGGTGACTCTAGTGGGGCTTGGATATTTCATAGAGGTGGCTTGCTATTGCCTGCCGCTGCGTCCTGGCCCTGGTATTCCTTGGAGATTTGCCTTCCAAGTGCTTGCCAGGGTCAGCCCTGCTTAGCCTCTGAGATCTGACAAGATTGGGCTTCCCTGGGTTACCTGAGTCAGGGCAAGAGGCTTTCTCTTGCAAATACCTGCTTGCAAACCCAGACCTTGCTAGCAGTGCCCAAGCAGGTTTTGGGGAGGGGCTGTGCTTGGCTTGGAGAAGGTCCCAGGTTTAGTCCCTGGCATCTCCAGTTGAAAGGTCCAGGCAGTGGGTGATGGGAAAGACCTGTGCCTGGGACCCTGGAGAGCAGCTGCCAGTCTGAGTCAACAAGACTGACCTTGATGTATTGAGGCTCTAATTCAGTGTTAGGCAGCTTCACGTGTGTGGTACAAACTCAGAATATGATTCTCCGGTGCAGATGCGCTATCCCATCCCATACATGCAATCTCACGAGTCATGAAAGAAAATGTGTACTTTATTTCTAAAATGACAGGCATGGATTGTACCGTGGTCATCGGCTTGCAGCCTAGGCGGGTCCTTCCCTGGACCACATACGAAGCGTACCGTTTCCCTTTCTCCTCCTATGAATACAGGCACTCGCCCCACTGAGCTTCCTGTTTAATTTGTCACAGAGACTCCTCTGGAACTTGGACCCTGCCAAGTGTATACTTGGTGTCAAAAACAGGTTCGCTTCTGTGTTAGCGTATGAAGCGGATCTTGAACTCAGCTCTTGGCAGCCCTGTTTTGCAGGCACTCAAAAAGAGGAGAGGTTTAGGTCTTGTACTGAGAAGCAAGCCTTCACCTGAATAGCCCAGGCTTGCCCCATCTCGTCAGATCTGGGGAGCTAAGCGGGGTCAGCCCCGGTCAGTGTTTGGGAGACAACCAGGAAGAAGAGGAGGAGGTTGGATTTATACCCCGCCCTTCACTCAGAGTCTCAGAGCCAGGGCTCTTTTTGTAGAAAAAGTCCAGCAGGAACTCATTAACAAAATAGGCTACACCCAACAGCAGAACCTCATTAGCATATTAGGCCACACCCCTGACAGCACAGCTCATTGGCATATGAGGCCACACCCTGTTACCAGAAGTGAGGTCATCCAGCCACACCCACCTTTCCCTTCTTATTCTGTTTACCTTGTTTGTTGTCCAAACCCAGGGCTTTTTTGTAGCAGGAACTCCTTTGCATGTTAGGCCACACACCCCTAATGTAGCTAATCCTAATGAGTTTCTGCTGTTCGGTGTGGCCTATTATGCTAATGCGTTCCTGCTGGGCGTGGCCAACTTGGAAGCCAGCCGGAACTCCGTCCCTGTGCGTTCCTGCCCAAAAATAGCCCTGCTCAGAGCAGTTTACAGGTTCCTTCCCCTCCCCACAACAGACACCCTATGAGGTAGGCAGGGCTGAGAGAGCTCTTTCCAGAACTGTCAAGGACAGCTCTTGTCAGAACTATTTATTTATTATTATTTATTTATTTATTTTGATTTATAACTATGGCTTGCCCAAGGTCATCCAGCAGCTGCAAGTGGAGGAGTGGGGACTCAAACCCGCTTCTCCCAGATTAGAGTCCGTGCACTTAACCACTGCACCACACTGGCTCTCAGGAATACCAGGCAATGACAAACCCCCTCTGGACATCTCTTGCCTTGAAAACACTATGGGGTCCCCATACGTCAGCTGTGACTTCTTGTGGGAAAAAAACAACAAATCGAGGAACAAAATAACTGTTAGAAGCGGGTGATGATGACAGGATGAATACAAGGTGTAATAAATTTAGAGTCCAGGGGCACCTTGAATACACCTTTGCTGGTCTTGAAGGTGCCACTAGACTCTAAATTTGTTCTGCTGCTTCAGACCAACACAGCCAGCCACCTGGATCTATATCTACAAGGTTTAATGTTTTTCTCCGTTTCTGATTTAACTGCAGGCTCGGGAGACAAGGTCTTCGCTCTGGCAAGTCTGGAGGTGGAGAAATCGAAGCACTGATGTTCTGGAGGGCCGCTTCAGTTTCCCGTGGTTATGTTAGATTTCTCTCTTTTTTTTTGACACTACGTTGTATTTGTGAATTTCTTACAGACTTTTTGTAACGCTGTCCCTCTCGACAAGAAGCAGAAAGTTTCCCGAGTGCTCTTTGCGCATTCAGCGGCTTGGCTTCGGAGGGTAAAACCTTCCAAGTGGTGCATTTTAAACAAAGGCAAAAAAAAACACACAACAACCCTAACAATGATTATCTTTTCAACGGAAGCGGCTTCTTTTTTTTTGTCCGTGTCTTTCAAAACATGCCTTTCTCTAGCAAAACAGCTCTCTTGGGTGGGGTGGGGGGAACGTGACCCCCTTGCCTTGCCGCTGTCCCTGCACAACTGCCTCAGGTTTGCGGCCTGCCAGTGACTGTTTGTTTTACTGCAATCCCTTCTGTTTCTGTATTTTTTAAAAGTGGGGGGGGGAGTGCAAGGCAGTATCAAATGTAGTAGTGTTTCCCTGAAACAGCATCTGTCTGAAAGCCGAGATTGTGCGCCAGCCAACAGCTCCTTGGCTGTGGCTATGAATGGGAGCCATTGTCTGGGAAAGGCTTGATTGGCAAACAAAAGCCGCCCGGTTGGGAATCTTCGGCAGCAATTTAACTTTTCTGTGTCGGAACAACAGGGAAGCGTTCCCAAACAGCCGCGAGGGGCCCCATCTGCGGCCGCCTTTGGGAGCCGGGAGTGTCGTCGACTGCAAGAGTTGCCATTCTTCCCTCCCTGTGTTTCTGGGGCAGTGTGTCATCGCTTCTTCCCTGGTCAAGAGAAACAAACAAACAGAGGGCCCCCTCGCTGCGGGCCCGGCTCTTTCTGAATGGGGGTCATACTGGCGAGCCGCTTGCCTTGTGAGCACGAGACTGCCTGTCTTCCTGCAGCGTACGAGGCTGGCTTTGGTGTCCGGAGCTCTACAGCTCCAAGATGGCCTCGCGGCTTGGGGGGGGGGGAGAGACTTTTGCATTTGTCAGAGGAGGTCCAGCCAGGGTCCAGCCCCAGCATCTCTTTTCAGCATCTTCATGAACACACGAAGCTGCTGTAGACTGAACCAGGCTGTGGGTCCATCAAGGCCAGTGTTGTCTGCTCAGACCGGCAGTGGCTCTCCAGGGTCTCAGGCAGGGGTCTTTCACGCCATTCACTGCCGTATCTTTGGGGTGGAGATGCCAGGAATTGGACCTGGGACCTTCGCTATGCCAAGCGGACGCGCTACCACTGAGCCACAGTGCCCTCGGGTGAAATTGCCCCTAGGCATCATCCCGCTGTAGCAGATGTTGATGTGGAGGTAGAAATCCCTACCAACATAACTCTGGAGAGGAGGAGGCCTTGCTGTGTGTCTGCAGACCCTCTCCCCCGTCCTCAGCAAAGAAACCCAACATCTGGAAGCAGCTGTGGTCCCACTAATGTGCCCCACCTTAGGCCAGGGTGTGAGCCACTTGTGGGTCCTGACCCACACACTGAAGCTCTATGCTCTAGGCTGCTCAGTTCCATAGCCCGTAAGAGATGGGGCTTCTAAGAAGGCAACTGGAGGTTCAGAAATTAACTGCTGCTATAAATGCCGTCTGAAAAAGTTGACACACTTGTGAATGCACGACATTGAACTGTTCCTCATCATGAAGGTACATTGGATTGGGAAACTATTTTAATTCATCGAAATATAAAACTTCTGTGTCTTGCCCTGCTTGTCACCAGCCCTAACGAACCCCCCTCCAGCTTTAAGAAGTCTATTGGCTATGTTGACATCTTGGTGTTTGGCGCAGGGATCTGTCACTTTGTTCTCTTGTGTGGCTCAGTGGAAGAGCCTCTGCTTGGCAGAAGGTCCCAGGCTCAATCCACACCATCTCCAGTTAAAAGGGTCAGGCAGCAGGTGATGTGAAAGTCCTCTACCTGTGACCCCAGAGAACAGCTGCCAGTCTGAGTAGACAAGACTGACCTTGGTCAACTGATTCAATATAACAAAGTTTGAGCCCAGTGGCACCTTTAAAACCAGCAAAGTTTTATTCAAGGTATAAGCTTTTGTACGTGCGCGCAGTTCTTCAGATACAGCTTATACCTTGAACAAAACTTTGTTGGTCTTAAAGGTGCGACCGGACGTGAACCTTTCCTGCCGCTTCAGACCAACCCAGCTGCCCCACCTGAATCTGATTCAATATAAGGCAGCTTTATGCGTGCCGTGCGTATATCTGCAGTTTCCCCGATGAACTTTGCTGTATAGTCATTTGTAAAACCGCTCTGCTTTCTGTCTGGTTTACGAAGTGAGCACAAAGCCTATATTCTCTTTTCCTGGCTTGCAGACAGGCGTGAGCTGCCAAAACCGTGCTGGCTACACCACACTGCGATGTTGCTTATCGCATGACTTTCTCCCTCCCCCCTTATTCAGCATTTCTGGAAGTTCAAAAAGTACAGGGAGCGGGAGGGGCGGCTCACTCGTTAATGGACAGGGGGCTCAGCAAATCCCCCACAAAACAGATGCCCATCCCCAGAGGACGGTGAGGATCTTCCTGGGGCTGGGATCCGCCTTGATTGCAGCGTTCCTAACAGGATTGGAGCCGAGCAAGCGGAACGTGCCCTGCTGCTGTCCTTTCCCGTGCTCGGCTCTTAGGGATGGCTCGCACCATTGTCCTCTGTTCCTCACATTACCATCCCACCCTGGGCGGTGTACCTGGGTGGGATGATCCCATCATGCTGGCGGGGGGGGGGGATTAGTCTTAAGTGAGAAGGATTGTAAAAGCAACCAGCTAGAGGACTTCATGGGCCGCGGTGGCGCAGAGGTTAAGACGCTGAGCTGCAGACTGGAAGGTCGGCAGTTCGAGACCCCAGTGCCGCGAGACGGAGTGAGCTCCTGTCTCTGGCCCCAGCTCCTGCCGACCTAGCAATTTGGAAACAAGAAATTGCAAGAAGATAAATAGGTACTGCTTCGGTGGGAAGGTAACAACATTCCGTGCGCCTCGGTGTTTAGACATGCCAGGCACACGACTGCAGAAACATCTTCGGACAGTGTTGGCTCTTCGGCTTGGAAACGGAGATGGGCACTGCCGCCTAGAGTCGGATCCGACTGGCTTTCAAGCAAGGGAAACCTTTACTTTAGAGAACTTCATAGCCAAGGGGGGGGGGGTGAACACAGATCTCCCTAGACTCAAGACCAACCCTACAGTGGCTGTTGCAGCCAGCAGACTCAAGAGGCAAAGCTTTTCCTGGACTGTATAATTGTAGACTAAGGGCAGCGACTGAGGTTATGTGTCTGAATGCTTCACCTGCATGCACAGAAACAGTGTCAGGAAAGAGACTAGGCTGATGTCTTGTTCCTGGTAGCCTGGTTTTCAGTGTGGAGAGGAGGGGGGCTGGGGAAAGGGAAGCTTTGAAATGCCCAGGTTCCCGTTACTGCCTGTCTTGCGGGACCAGTTAGGCCAGCTGGAGCCTGCTGGTTACATAAACTGGCCTGTCGTGTATGGATTCTGAGATCTTATTGAAGGAGGCCTCTCTTTAGTAGCTTCTCATGTTTACTTTTGGCTTCAGCTCCGAGAAACGGCATAAATTTAGAAGGCTCCAGCAAGTGAGCCAGACCACAGGTGTCGGGGAGACCAAGATGCCCCAAGGCACTATTCAGCTCACTGATGCAAAAACCCTCTTTGGCCCCAATTCTAGCAGTTGAGCAAACAACCCCCTCCCTTACCAGCTAGATCATACCATCTATTCCTGGCTGGGTTCCTATGGCTTTGACGCACGACAGGCTAATGCCCAAGAGATGCAGCCTTTCTGAACATGGCTTCAGCCTTCTGGAGGGAAGCTGCCTCTGTTAAAATCCTGCTTGTCCTCATCCAGTAGACGTGGCAAGAAAGAGGGGCCAGTGTTGGACTCCAGCCTGGCTGTCGGGGTGGCATGCCCCAAAGGAAGGTGGGAAATCATCTTGGTCCAAAGAAAGGAGACAGGTATGTGATCCTAGCTTAGAGGGACTCGGGCCTGTGAAGAAAAGCCCTCCCAAAGGCCTCATGTTCAGCACAGAAGGGGGCTGTTTCCTTTGGGCTCTGTGATTTTCAATAGCCCAGACTGCTCCCCAATAACTTCTGTGGCTGGTGGGACTAGACCTTGGCCGTTGCAAGCAGCATCCTTTTCGTGCTTTTATTTTCAAAACTCTGACAGTTCAACAACAACTGGGGCAAATTTCCAGTGGTTGTGGACCTCCTTTTTCCTGAAATGCTGCAGCAGACTCATTCGTGATGATTAGAGGGTGAACTGAAGCCGTGCCCCTGTGTTGCCACAAATCCCTCCCCTGAGCCAAATACGGCTCTAAACAGGCTGCTGCTTTTGATCTCTCTTTTTTTCTGCAGCCGGATTTGCATTTACTCCTCAGCCTTTGTGTAGGGTATGTCTTCCTTTATTAACAAACCACTGAGAAATGCATTTTAATCTTGATCACCAACTTTGTATGCCTGCCTCCCCCTTAGAAGATAACCACCCCATTAAACCACTACTTCCCCCCAATGACATATAATTGTGGATGTTTTTGTGGCAGAGTACGATTTTTGGGCTTAAGCATGCAAAGCTCTAGTAAGAACTGCTTAAAGCAACTGAAAATTATCATAAGGCTCTAGGTTTCTAATCCTTTTAAACATTTGCCTGCAAACAGGTAAGATTCTGAAAGACTTTCCATTATGAATAACCAATATGCTTTTATCAATCAACGTATTAATACTCTGCTTTTCTCTCCAACAGATTCTCAATTTATGACATTGTTCTTCTCTCCTCCATTTTATTTACAAAATCCTACATTTCTGTCCTTACAAAGTGGCCAACAATTTAAAGCATACATGATAAAATCACATTTTAAAACCATTAAAATCAGCCTCCATCCCAGACACTCCATTCAGACAATTAAAAAACAGTTAAATACATACAAAACAGAAGTAAAATACATACAAAATAATTTGTTCTACAAACTTGTTTGTTCTCAATCAACCCTGTGAGATAGGCCACATTGTTCATATGTTGCGCGCATTTCTAGGTAACCAGCTCTGAGTTGGGAAATACCTGAAGATTTTGGCGGTGGAGCTCAGGAAGGGCCTGGTTTGGGGAGGGACCTCAGCAGGATATAGTGTCATAAGAGTTCACCCCCCAAAGCAGCCATTTTCTCTTGTCTTGGGATCAGAAGGGGGCTGTTTCCTTTGGGCCAGTTTTGGGATCACTTATAATCCCAGGAGGTTGGCAGCCCAGTTGTAGGGTTGTTGCACACACCATATAATATAGCACACAAACTGATAC